AAAACGTACTTACGTGAGTCAGAACTGCCGACATTGTTGTCTAACGTTACTCTCCCAGGATCAGTAAACAGTCCTCCATAAACTGTGCTGCACACATCTGGATATTTGGGATAAACTGTTCTAGAACAGTGTTGTAAATACAACTTAACCACTGATTTGTAGTCGTGTCCTCTTTTGGAAGACCAAACAAAGTAGTTTGCACAACGAAAAACACAGCGGCCTAGCGTGAGGGGAAGCCCCGGCTTAGCATGCGCTGAGGCCGGGATAGAGTGAGCTGAGGCCGGGCTAGCGTGAGCCGAAGCCCCGGCTTAGCGTGCGCTGAGGCCGGGCTGGCGTGAGCTGAGGTGGCGGGGTCGAGAACGCGCGCCTGGCGGATGCGACGAATGAGCGGCAACCACATGTGACGGACCCCGGGCTGGATTCCGCTTTGTCCACGGTGAAAGTTGATGTATTCCCTCAGCGACCAGCACAGATCAGCTCTAGGCATGACGAAGTGGATATCGTCCTCTTTTGGAAGACCAAACAAAGCAGTTTCGCTTTCACAACGAAGCACACAGCGCCTTCACGACATGGCTGCAGCGTCAACAATACTACAGTGAGAATAAAAGTTACGCCTTCTTTCTTTGCGTGAACATTTGGGCTGCGTTATGCAAATCTTCCCACATAGTGAGGTAGATATGTGGGGGCGTGTTAGAACGAGCCGTTTTAGGTAGGTGTGGCTGACTCTGAACTTTTATAAAGAATATCTCTTTGGATTTGAGACTTTAGTCTTTGCAACTTTACAGATCTTCTTTATGCACCAAGAGTTTGTAAAACTCTAAAGAGAAAGGAAAAATTTAAATCGCATCATATGACCCCTTTAAACTTAAATGAAACATCACCATAGATGTAAAGTAAATATATATAGAAGCCTCCGACTATGAGTAACAGCAGAAAAAAATAGCAGACTATGTGAATAACTGACTAGACTTGAGCCATTGTTCAGGACAAATCTGTTACTCATGCATGTCAGGATTCAATACAAACAAAAATTTCAAATGTTAAATTATTATAGTTTGTACTTGTTTCAATTATTTTATGATATATTATGTTTTATTCTTAATTTTTGTTTTATATTATTATTAATTATAGTTATTTATTTTATTTTGTTCATTATTAATAATACACATTTTAATACATATTTATTTAATACAGTAATTTATATGTATAAATGTATTTAAATATTTACATATGTATATTCACATATTTAAATATACTAATTATTTTATTTCAATGTAAATGAAATTTAATAGAGTTCACCATATAGAAATAATACAGTTATACTAATATAGTTACGTGAGGCCAAAAAATTCTAAAACAAAGAAAAAAAAAAAAGTAAGTGTATGAACGTATTTAAATATTTACATAAGTATTTATATTCACATATTTAAATGTGCTAATTATTTTATTTCAGTGTAAATGAAATTTAATACAGTTGACCATGAAGCAATATTATATTTATACATTTACATTGATATAGTTGCTTGAGGCCAAAAAAATGATAAAACAAAACAAAATTAATAATAATTAATAAATAAAGCCAACTGCAACAAGACTCTTTGTTTTTAAAAATTATATATTTCCTAATGTGTTCTGTAAATTTGTGTAGTCTGTAGTATTTGTTTTATTTAATTATAAATTATACCGTTTGTTTTATTATTTATTGTTTTATCATGTATTATTATTATGTATTGTTTTATTACTAATCATTAATAATAAATACTTATACCTATTTATTCAATTATTAACGACTAATATAAAAAAAAATAGCATACTATTTTAAACATAAGTATATTAATATACATAATTATTTTAATGGAAATTAAATATATGACAGTTACATGAGACATGAATAAATGAATAGATAGATAGAAGTACCTGTTTGACCTCTATATTTCTATTACTTAATGGTGTGACTGATGACAAAAGAAGCATAGGCCGGCTGCAGAGGTAGTGGGTGGCCCTAAAAGTTAGTCTGAGGGGGGTCCAGTGGACACATACCTCCCAAAGCAAATATGGAAATGATAATGATGCGCTGAAAAGGAGGCAGACTCCAGCAGCTGGTTGAGCGCGGCTCCTCTGTTGCCATTGTGCCACCACCCGCGCGTAATAGAAAAGGCTCCGGATTAGTTCCACTTTGCAAATCCCGTTGGTTCACTGATCTTTTTTTTTTTTTGCTCTCCGCAACCTTTTTTCCCCACTGGCCCATTGCTGCCAACTTTCATTGAATGGTGGATTATCAAAATAATAACTAAGGTGACAATAAAGGCTTTTTTTGATGCAACAGGTCTCCACTTTACCCAGTTTGAATAAGGAGGGAAGAGCAAGTGTTACGAAGTGGCACGGTCAATTGAAAGGGAGGACAGATTTAGGCGGTTTTAAATAATCTTTAATGGTTTTAGAAAAATAATTTTTCCGGCCACCCCACCTACACGAGTTTGACTAACGTCTCGAAAAAGAGGGAGGCCGTTTAAATCAATCATAGATTCATGGTTTTAGCTTTTAAGAAGTACTCTTAAAAGCTAAAACCAGGTGACAAGCCTCGCCGCGTATGCATATTAAATTTATTTTGCGCCTTGCGTCCATGTGGGCATAAAATATTCACATGACAGCGATACCACTTCCAAGCGTGATTTAATACTAATAGCCTCACAAATTAAGTTGTGGTTTCTACTTCAACATATTCAAAGTAACTGATGCTGGAAACAGGCCCTTCGGAACAATTCTGTGAGCCGTTTGGCTTTACATCCAGCAAATGAAGAATATTAATAACAGAGAAAATGCAAAAACAGGTAAATTTCCACACAAAACTTTACTTTTGCGCAAAGGTTGTCGAACACTAGACAAAATGTGCTTTGAATATGCAATGGAAAACCACGAACAAGCCAACAGGCCATAAATTCAGGAGTTTATTTTCCTCACAATAACTCATAACCATGTGAAGACAAGAATATGTAGCCGCTCACTGCGCGCCTTTGGGTTTGATTAAAAAACGTCCTTATCTATGACAAAACCATTCACAGCCAGTGACAATACGGTCGTGATAACCTGATCCAGGCCTCTGTCTGATAAAGCCTTGTTCGCTGGGAAAACCAAGCCATGTGTAAGTCACACTCAGAGATCCGGTTAAGTGTTTACATTAAACGCATGTAAATCAAGCAGCCGGACGAGGTGATACACACTGCGGATTGCACTCGTAAAGTGACCGCTCTCACGTCCTTAGCGTATGTCAACAAGTGTCCGACTGTAACAAGCTACAAATATATCTCTCCCTCGCTTTTACCTGCACTGCTTCAAACCCAGTTCACACTGACAGCAAAAATACTGAGAAAACACTTAAACAAAACAAATCAAAATACACACAAAACAAGACTATTTTTAACTAGCGCTTTTTAGTAAATCAAATTCATACAGCACAACCAGTCTAGTCCAATTCACAAACAAATAATCATAAAAATACTATTACTGTAAGTGAATCAAAACCTGCAAACATCGCTTACTGAATTAACATTAGTTACTTTTAGTTACTTTACTTTAGTTACTTTAGTAAAAGTTACTTAAGTTACTTTAATAAATTATATAAGTTATCATTACTTTCCATGATGGAATATTATATAAAATAATTTAAGTCAGTAAGCAAATAAATAAAGAAAAAAACAAACAAACAAAAACAAATAAATAAATAGATATAATAAATAAAAAATACTTTGTGACCCAATTGAAGTACAATTTAAATTACATTGCTTATTGTGACAAGTATAATTATATATATATATATATCTATATATCTATATATATCTATATATGAATATATAATAAATATGTGAGCTTCATGTAATTTTTTTTATAATTACACATTAATAAAATACTAGTTTTAGGCAAGAAATACATTTAAAAGTTTACTTAAAACTTCACAGAGTAGTTTTTGGTTGTGCTGATTATAAAATTCAAATAAATAAACAAATTTAATTAATTAAACTGCAATTTTGGGCTTTGTTTCTCATTTTTAAAATGAATCATTTTGTAATGTTCCTAGGATCGCTTTATAATTTACAGCATTAGCTCAGAGGCATTGTAATTGAAATATACCTAAATGAATTGGAATTGAATACGAATCTAACTGAATCAGAACTGAATTTAAACTGAATCAGAATTTAATGAGAATCAAATCGAATCAAGAGCTTGTGAATTTAAAAAATCCCAGTCCATATCCACATTGTTCCTTCTCATTTGCATAAAGCTATCTCTACTCAAATTGGTTGCATATCCAACTTGTAAAAACGTCTGGATGCTTTGACACTACAAATCGCTGTCAGTGTGAACGCCCCTTCATACAGAGTCCGTTCAGACTTCAGGTTCCTGCTCATCCGGTCTAATGTTACAAGGTGACAGTGTGGGGTGTGAAGGAAACTGGGATTTGAAGGATTGTGGGAGAACTGCTGGCTGGGATAAGGAGCTTGGGGAAGAAGAGTGGTGCAGTTGGAGGAGGGTGGGGTGTTGGGACCTCACCTCTGGGTCCTGTAATGACAGGTCGATGATGGTGTGTGAATGCCGTTCGAGGGGAAGCGGTCTGCGAAGGCACAAGGCTGCTGAAACCAGACTTCTCTGACTTCTTTAATGTGGTAGGCGATGGCATCCCTGGCAAGAATGATTGATAAGTGCAATTTAATAACGCAAGGTCATGGAGATACAGGCTGGCGCAAAGGAGAGAGAGTGGATAGGAGGGTTGGGGTGGTTTGTTTGGGTGGGTGGGTGAGTGGATGGGGGTCAAGACAGCAGGGGAGACTGTGAGGCCCAGCGGGTGGCACAGGATACACTACATGGGGCCGAACGGTGACTCTCTCCCAGTGCAGCGCAAGGTCACATGAGTATGTAGTGTACTGATGTCTTGATGTCAACAGACATGCGCACTAGGCATGACCTTTCTCAAAATAAAAGTAAGTGTTATTCATCTTCTATGCAAGTTTGTGCATGTAAAAACAAGTCCAATCAGACTTTCGAGGGCGAGCTTAAAGGAATATTCCGGGTTCAGTACAAGTTCATTTGATAGCATAGTATAGTATTGATCACCACTAAAAAATAATTTCCAGTTGTCCCTTGTTTTCAAAAATCTGGGCTACAGTGAGGCACTTATATTGGAAGTAAATAGGGCCAAATTGTAATTAAGATACTCGATGTATAGAGATGTAAACAATGTGACAATTTGTTAAACCCATAAAACACAGGTAAAAATGATTGAAAGAGCTTTAGAGCTCAAATAATAAACTAGTTTTAACAAATGAAGTAATGTGGGTGCATTTTTTTTGTTTTAATGAAAACAAGGGACGAGTCGAAATATTTCTTGTGGCAATCAACATTATGCCACAAATGCTATAAGTTGAATACAGAACCCCTAAAGAGACATGGTGATGGGTAAAAATATACTTGCATTGTTATGCTTTTGTGTTCTCTCACAAAACCTTTGCGTTCCGCTGAGAAACTTTGAGTTAACTCACAAAACATTTGTATTCTGTGAGAAACTTTGCATTAGCTTGAAAACTTTTGCGTTCCCCCCAAAAAGTTTGCGTTCGCTCGCAAAACTTTGCCATTTTCAAAAATAAACTTTGTGTTCAATCACAAAACTTTTGCGTCCCCCCAAGAAACTTTGCGTTCACTCGCAAAACTTTGTCATTTTCCAAAGAAACTTTGTGTTCGCTCGCAAAACTTTGCCATTTCAAAAATAAACTTTGTGTTCACTCGCAAAACTTTTGCATCCCTCCAAGAAACGTTTCGTTCGCTCGCAAAACTTTGCCATTTTCCCAAGAAACTTTGTGTTCGCTCGCAAACCTTTGCCGTTTCCCCGAGAAACTTTTTATTTGTTTGCAAAACTTTGCCATTTCCCCGAGAAACTGTGCTCACTCGCAAAACTTTTGCATTCGCCCATGAAACATTGCGCTCACTTGCAAAACTTTTGCGTTGCCCAAGAAACTTTGCGGTCGCTCGCAAAACGTTGCCATTTCCCCAAGAAACTACATTTGTTCGCAAAAATTTGCCATTTCCCAGAGAAACTTTGTGTTCGCTCACAAAACTCTGCCGTTTCCCAGAGAAACTTTGTGCTCGCTCACAAAACTTTGCCGTTTCCCAGAGAAACTTTGTGCTCGCTCACAAAACTTTGCCGTTTCACAGAGAAACTTTATGCTCAATCAAAGCAAAACTTTTGCTTTCATCCAAGAAACTTTGCATCTGTTTCCAAAATGTTGTGTTGATGAAAATAACACAAGGTGGGAGGACTATATTTCTATATATCGAGCGAACGCAAAGTTTTTTGAGGAAATGCAATACTTGCGAGAGAATGCAAAAGCATTGTGAGAGAGCACAAAGCTTCTTTGGGGAATGAACACTTTTGGGAATGAATGCAAAGTTTCTCAGGGGAATGCAATACTTTTGTGAGAACACACTGAAATATTATTTTTCTTTCATCACCATGTCCCCTTAGGGGCTGTGTAGTTCAGCGTAGCTCTGAACCCGTAATATTCCTTTAAAGGACTAAAAGTTTTTCAGTTGGTTCAAATTAGTGGCGATGAGTGCGAGGTTAGTTAATGGTAAAAATGGCGCCTAAAAATGAAAAACAAGAAGAAGGAAAAAAAAGGCAATTTTTAAAGTATCTTATGCACCTTACCCGTGGGCTAGTGGGATGAAATGACGTAGCGATGAGCGAAACAGGATGTGGTGGAGAAAAAGATAGAGAAAGCTGAACAGACATGGATGGAAGAGGAGTTAGGGATGCAAAGCACACAGTATTCACATTCACAGTCTGCCAGGCGGCTGTGCTTTGGCAGGGGTTAATGCGAGCAACAGTTCAGATGCACAGGCTAACATGAGCTAACTGAGAATGACTGAAGTCTGTTAGTGCATGCTCAGCCACGTTAGTTCAACTCCTCCCTCCGGCATTAGCGCTCCCATTCTGCCTCACTTCACTCTACCTCTCGCTCCGGGGTAAAAATAGACAGACGTGAGGGAAACCCATGGCCGATTAGCCGCTTGAGGTTAGGAATGCAAATTGATAAGAATGAACTGCAAATAGAAGGGGCAATTAGGAGGCACCGCTGGCCCATTTGTCATCCGGTCAAAGCGTTTAGTCCATTCTTCTGCACTGGGACAGGATATAAGCGCTGGTCTTATGTCTTATTTCTCCCCGAGAGCAGTCCACTCACACCCCCACCACCCCCGGAGGAACAAGTTCATCCAGACGCTAGTAAATGACTTTAACCGGTGCAATTCAATCATGTGTGGCTAAAGCTGTATTAATGGTTTTAGCTGGCGGCCCTCACTCTCCTCGCTCTGTCCACACATCTCATTCTGATTACATAGCAGCACTGGTGTGTGGGACGCCCCCCACAGCCTCCGATCCTATACGGAGGCCATCGCACTTATTATGAGCCAATTATAGTTAAATAAGTCTATCTAGAGAGATAAATATTCTGTTTATACAGTGTATTTGATGGTGCATGGTTTTAAGTACGGCATTTCATTCCAGAATTATGAAATTGCAAAATTGTTATGTTTAAACGTTTATTGAGCAGTTTAAAATTTAATACTCATTCACTTGCTAGTGCCCACCAGTTTTACACTTTCTCAATGAGAAATTATTTATATATATTAAATATTTATAATATATAAAAAATAAATATAAATTTGAAGGATGAAAAAAGGGATTTGAGGAACAGACACTCCAAATATTATTATTTATACTAATTGTTATTAATATTAATGATATTTATATTATTTAGTCTGATCTGTTCTGCATTATTATTATTATTATTATTATTATTACATTTTTTTTAACATTTTAAATATTGCAGCACAGAATAGCCTTAAAATTCATAATGTTAATATTTATTAATAAAATATTTTGCGCTATTTTTCCATTTAAAATAATAACAATAATAATAATAATTTAATTATTAATTAAATATTAATATAAAAAATATCATTAAATATTAAACATTAAAATATTGCTGCATAGAATTTCCTAAATAAAATAATATCAATGTTAATATTAATAATAATGTTTGAGTGTCTTTCCCATTAATAATACAAACAAAAAATGTATAATAATATAAAATTTAATAATAATAATAATAATAACCACACACAGCTCAAGGTGTTCACTATCAACAAGATATATTGCTGTTATCTGCTTTATATCTAACTTGTTTTTATATATGGGGAGGTAAAATGTGCAGGTGAATGTGTTTTGGTGCATGTGAGTAATTAGAAGTCATCCTTGGTTTCTCCAGCCCTCGCAGACTCCTTCCCCTTTCAGGCGCAAGAAAGAGAGAGAAAACAAGATGGAAAGAAAGACAGCATCTCTTCCCAGCATCAATGACCATTAGAGATTGGATTTGATATTTAAAAGGGTCATTTCAGGTCACGGAAAGGTCAACAAAGAGGTCAATGAAATCAGGAAGAGATGGTTGCTACTACAATACGAATATGATAAGAGATTTTAAGGAAGAAGTCATTAAGCACATTTGGCACAGCTTACCAATATTTTCCAGTCTTCATTCATCACACACACACACACCGAGTGCAAAAATTCCCCATTCAGCTGTTCTCATTTTCTCCTCACACTCACAAGTTCAGCAAAGAATGCTTCAGAAGATCAATTTCAATGAGTACGCTGACAGCGGTGGAAGACAGAGTGGAGTGGAAACATACGGTGTCATTGGGACGGACTCATCAGATGAACGTGGAGCCCAGAGTAACCCAAACACTACTCACCCGAGACCATGACATAGACGAGAGAGAGTCGATGACAGAATAAACAGACAGAAAGTAGTGGAGAAGGGAAGGGAGCGAAGGATAATAGGATGAGAAGACAAACATGGAGTTAAGTCACACACATACACTTACTCACTGTCACAGGCTGCTGGAAAGCATCAAAAGAACATTAGCTATCGCAATATTAGCTATTGCTAATGCTTCTTATCAACACTTTAGACATTAACTTATCAATATTTTACCTTATTTAAAGTCACACTGATTGCCTGTCTAGTTAAGGCGAATCATTTAAGTTTAGCACCAAATTCGGTTTCATTAGCAATTAGCTTGTCACGCGAGAATTATATATTTTTTGGGCTAATTTTGACTTTTTTATATTTTTGCTTATCTGAAGTCACTTTCACTGCCTGTCCATCATTCTGCATGTTCAGAGGGCAGTTAAAGTCAATTGATTAAGTTTAACACCAAATTCAACATCATTAGCAGTTAGCTTGTTGCGAAAGAATGCAATTTTGTTAGCGTTCATTTTGAGTTACTGATATTTTAGTTCATCTGAAGTCACTTTGATTGCCTGTCTATAATTTTTTCATGTTCACAAGGCAGTTAAAGCCAATCGTTCAAGTTTAACACCAAATTTAATATCGTTGGCTTGTCGCTAAATTCACTTTCATTATCAGGAAGCTTGTTGTCAGAATGTTATTTTGTTAGCGTTTGTTTTAATTAATCTCAGATGACGTGTTGCTGGCCTCTTGCTCCATCTTTCATAAGTTTCAACAGTTTTTTCTAGGGCGGTGTTTTGGAGAAAGGGGCGTGTCTTAATTCATGTGGTTTTGTGGAAGTACGAGAACGATTAACATAATTATTAAATGATTATTGCACAATTTGAGAAGAAATTATTTAAATTCAAATATGATATGATAATTTGCAACATCCAGCCCAGCTCTTACTTTTTCCTTGAAAATGCACGCTTCAAACAGAACAGTCAATGAAGACGAAGAAGAGAATGATGTGTAGCTCCCGGCACCGATTTATACTGTAGTCGCACCGGTAGTGACGTCATGGCTGTCGCCGGCCAACGAGTTGGTGTTTTTTCAATGTATGCTTCAGACACGGGTCACGACGAGGCGTTCCCCATAGCGACCCCTAGAGGACGCAGTTCGAAGTTCCCATGAAAGGGAACTAGTTTGTTGCTGGTCTAAGGTGGTTTACCAAACCTATCTAGCCTGACCAACATGGTCTACCAGGTCAAAATGAGGTCCATCAGCCAATGGTCCATCTGGACCAACTAATGACCATGTTTGGACCAGCTAGACACCATATAGGAAGCTGCATTCTTCGATTGAGCTCTGGATGTGGTTCTGAGGGGGAACATTTTGGTGCCTGTAGAGTGGGGAAGTCCAAAGAGAAAACAGAATGAAACCTGTGGGCTGGCGGACAGTTGGCTTTGATTGTGTGTGTGCAAGTGTCTGTGTTTGCTGTGGACGGGGTCTGATGTCTCCGAGTGAGTAATGAACACTTGAAAAGGTTCTGTCAGTTGGAATCAAAGCCCGGCCGTAGTCAGCACTTTCCCTTCCGAGGCGTTATTACATGCTGGGTACCAGTTCTGGCCCGATTCTCCTCTTCCCTCCCTTCCTGAAGTCTGAGAAATTGACAAAACCCAGACGGGCGAGGAGGCAATTCTGTATTGAGTGCGTCTCACTGCTGCTCTCCATCGCTCTCGTCCAGTAGCGCTCCCTCCATCCCCTCTGGCACATCAATCAGTGCTGGCCGGGCTGAAGTCGGCAGTGAATCTACCCAAACTAGTCTCAGCACACACTTACTACAATTTACAGGTGGACTATTAATTATTCAAAATATAGATATAATTACTGCTGTCTTAATTGTTCTTTTATGATACAAGTAATTACCACACAGAAACTAAAGACACAAAGTTCTGTTAATCTCAATGTTCTACCTTAATCTTTTTCCACCCTTACAATAAGTTTAATTTTTGAAAAATGCTATATAAATGTAATAATTTGAGTTGATTTTAAAAAGTATTATATATATATATATTCAAATTAAATCTAAAATATTATTGCTATTATTATGCACGTTAAATAATATATTAATATTATTATACAGAGTATAACACACACATACATATATACATGTAATATTAGTATTATTATGAGTGTGTGTGTGTGTGTGTGTGTATGTGTGTGAATATATATATATATATATATATATATATATTATGGCTGCACGATAAATCGCATGCGATATTTAACGCGCATCTTGTCAGTAAAGCCATTCTGTAATCAGCGGTAAATCGCAGCTCGTCAGTGAACAACGGCTCTGTGTAGTTAATGCTGCTCAATGTGAAAGCCCGCAGGTGATGGAGATTTACCGCTGATTACAGAACCGGCTTTCTGACAAGATGCGCGTTAAATATCGCATGCAATTTATCGTGCAGCCCTAATATATTTATGAAGAGTTAATTTGCAAAAACAGATAACTCTGTTTTTAACAATTTTCAAAAATCAAGTTTTTACATTGCGCATTCCAATTAATCTCAATCAAACTGCAATAGGGTTATTTAGAAAAATAACTAAAAAATACAGCTAGTTCTCTGTTTTTGCAAATTAACTAAATATAACAAAGAGTGAAAAATTTAAGGGGGTCTGAATACTTTCCGTACCCACTGTATATTAATTATAGTTGAAAAAATTATGTACTTCACTAATTTTTATCACATACAGACAAATATTATGAATTATATGTTATATTTATTAATAGTCATATATATAATTACATATAATATAAATGTAATACATATGATGTATACTTTTCATATATATATATATATATACACATAATATTAACATCATAAATTATGTTACATTATATATTAACTATAGTGAAACATTTTAGTTATATATATTTCATTTAATTATACATATATATTTTTTACTATTTTATATATTTATCACTATATATATATATATATATATATATATATATATATACGCACACATATATATAACATTTTAATATTCAACATTTATTTTAATTAAATGTACATATTTTAACTATTTTAATCACATTGTTAACTACCAAAAAGTATTAAGACTTCAATAAGTCTTAATTAACTTTTTGATGTTAAATAATACAGTTTAGTAAACATATTTATTAACGTGATTTTAGATTAAAATAAATAAATAAATAAAAATGCGAATTCTAGAATGGCTTGTAAATGTTTATTTTTCGAGTAGGTGGTGAGAGGTCATAGGAGTATGACTGTGGTTCTCTCTCTGTGTTACGTGCGGTGAGCAGAATGAGGGGTAGACGTCACCCCGTAGCCCCTACAGCGGCCTATCACCTGACACCCGCTACCTGAGCCATGACATGTCGCGGACATACTTTCGAAAGGCTGGCTAATTTTAAACACATAGCGAAGGTCTCCGCTATCAAATAAAGATAGGAGTGGCCCACACACACACATATATAAACACAAACACACATCCAGCACACTCGGGGGAGATTCATGGAAAGGGACACTAATCAAACAGATGGCAGGCATAACAAGAGCTCGAGCCGTCACAGTTGTTTTGTCGTTCAACACCACTGCTGAAAAATGGATGAAAGTCGCTGATTGGACGAGAAATGTGATCCTGTCATGGGCGAGCAAGTGATCGGGAGGTCAAATCGCACTCACTTTCTCTCTCAACCTCTTTGTTTACTCACACATTCCCTCTCACATTCAAGCAAACACACACTGGAACAGACTCTCACTTGCTTGGTGCCGATGCAACTGTGAAAAGCACTTAATAGTGAGACACAGCTCTAAATCAATAGCACCCCTCCGTATTCGCTATTTGTATTGCCTTTTTCCACCTTTAAATATATTAGGGATGTGCCAGAAATGTGGACTAGTCAACTAATCATCCAATAACCAAGTATTTGAGTCGTGAGCTAAATTATATATATATATATATATATATGATACAAACATGTAATATATTAAAAAGGTTTTGTTTTATACAAAAACAAATTTACACACACACACACATATATATGCATAAACATATACATATATATATATCTACACAAAATATTTAAAATATTTTTAAAAATATTATGTTACAGTAAATATAGAAGTACAGATACGTATAATAAAATATTACTCCAGTAAAAGTACTCCCTTTTCAA